TTCGGAACATATCGACCCCACCACCTGCACAGATAGTTGTTTTAGCAACTGTACATCCCTAATCCTATACGATTTAATATCAGGATACCTTTGTTAAATTATTACAATCTTCTGTTTAACTTTGACTTAACTGTGGTAGCCACTTCAGCACAGACGTGTCGCTGCTCGATAATGATGTTAAAGTAAAAAAAATAAAGTCAAGTATTTCGAAGATAACAAACCGTATCGGTTTTATTCAGTTACCCTAATAATTGGGTTTTCTGTAAATAGATTTTAATTTTCTTTTACCGACATACAAGGATAACTCTAAAAGACTACTGCGTGATGATGAGAAATAATAATTATGTACTGTAACAGGCACAAGTAATTTTCCTAAGCTGTGGTTTCGGCTCCTGTATATTTTGGTTATAATCCAGGTAAGTTCCGCGCCTTTACTACCTACGTTAGGACATCTTAACAAAGCCATAAATGCTTTACCTCGTGAAATCGACGAAAAGTGCACGAGCAGCACGTATTGAGTACAGGCAATATATAGTATATTTTTTTCTACTGAACACAATTTTATCAGTCGCGTTGCTTTTACCCGTTGCAATTTTTTGTTTTGTTTATATAAATCTTTTATAATTTCACGGACGAGTTCTCAGAGTTGTAAGTTATTTTTCGCATAATTAAGGAAAAAGAACACATCCACGTATGGCATAGTCTCATTGCTAAACCCACTCCATTTTATCCCCTATTTTCTGTATTATGACTTTTACGGACCAATTAGATTCAATCTCATATCTTCAATTCGGGAGAAAATTAAAAGTAGGGACCTTTGATAACCAATCCATGTGCTTTTACTTTCGTTACATTAAATAAACCAGTTAAATTCGCTTATCACGTCTCTAGTTAGGAAGAAAATCTAACTTAGGGGAATAAACTTATCGTACGAACCAAGGAGCACTAGCAGCAGAGAGTAAACAGAGTGTCTCCCCCACCCACCAGGATAAAGGTTTTTAGACATTGTAACAAACAGTGTAAGACAGTCGCCTCTTGGTGCCTGGAATGTGTGCCAAAAATAATACCATCTTCGGGTTTTATTATGATAAACACGAGAGTGTGCGTGTGCAAAGTTGCAAACGATTGGTTTTCCCTAACCAAGAAATGGCATAATTTTTTTTAGAAAAGCGGAAACCTGATCACATCTGTTTATATACTGAGCGTGAGTCATGTCTGCACCTCTGCCAGGCCTAACACATTTATTGGTCTCGGCAATAAATGTCGCGACGGCTTATCAATATTTGCAGCTTAGAAAATAATGAATGTGCGTGTGTAATATTATGATGAGAGAGATGAAAATGTGATCATATTTAAGTTACAACGAAGAAAAGAACTGAATTTCTCTCCACGACAGCCTAAAACCAGGGCCAAAGTATTACCTGAGAACATGACCGGTCGATAATGAATGTATCAACTAGCAAACTTATAGTACATACATACAAAAGCAAATATCCAAATGTGAGCTTGTAAAATAATTTAGGGGAATAAATTCGAGAATTTGCCTTGTTAGAACATGAATTTGAAAGACCCCTTCTCATCTAGTTCACAAACCGCCATAAAATAATGTTGCTTATTATGTAACTCTTTAAGTAGAATAACCTTGTATATTTCAGTGAGGACGTGAATCTGTGTTTGAGTGTATGTATAATAAATCAAGAAAGTTTGCAACCAAGCTGCCACATGACATACGAGAAATCCGTGGTAGGATAGGTCACTGTTATCCTTCATGTGGTCTGTGTTAGTTTTAGTAGAGTAAATATTTAAGCGACTTTATGAAGATAAATGGGTTGGTCTGGGCAGGTAATGTGTGCAATTTTCTTACTTAAAATCACATTTAAATAAGTGGTTAGCTTAACCAGTTGTCTGGTACAGTACCAGCCTTTCTTTGTAGCGTTTGAAGAAAAGTTTAACTCACTCCAGGATATTCATAGACCGTGTTCTTATCGTTGATTGGAAACGCCTCCTGAATCTCAGCCACGCCTTCCTTAGTGTAATACCGACTGAAGGTTACAATAGAATCACAGTCCTGCCGACATTAGGCCACAGTTTCGCTGATATAAATGTTATTTATGAACCCAATGTTTAGCTATAGGTCATCGATGGTACGAATCTTATTTAAAAAAAAAATATTAAGTCGACTGTCAGTGAGTGAATCATCCTGTAAAGGAATTTTCTTCGTTTCTTTGAAAATCCGTCATCATTACCTTCAGCCATCGTGTCCTTGTTCATCCCAGAGCCCTTAGGTTCATTCAACCAACCACAGAGGAGATTTAAGATCAATGATTTTACGTCACAATTTTACGCTCTGTCTTAAGGAAGGAGACAGTTGGATGAGGACGTCATGGCATCTTAAGCCTATCGATGACGCCTGATATAATAATAGTCATGCCTACAATTTCACTCAGAAAGAATAAAGTAAGTAACTATAATATCCCCCAACAAAGACAACACCCACTGTTCTTGTACCCATTAGCGTATTTCTTAAAATCTTACTTTAGATTCATAAGCCCATTAGCACATTTGTTTCCTCTCGTTGGTGAATTACGATCCCATCATATTATATTCCTTTATTTTACCAATGATAAAATAAAATATGCTCATAATACTGAAAATTCATTCAGTAGATGTTATGTTCTCTACAGTTAGAAGGAAGAGGAAGAAGAACCTTGGATATAATTTACGAATCTTCATGAAATCTGACTAGATGCTTCTAATATATACATTAATGTCCCTTGAATGAAATAGTTAAGCCCAAATACTTTAATATGGCGAGGTATTTATCCTTTAAAATTTTTACCACAAAAGAAACAGCTTACATTAGGTAGGATCTCGACTTCATTTCAATTCCATTTTTCTTTGACCAAGCTCAAGTGGGATAGTTAATATAATTATTGTGTTGTCGTGTCAGCATGTGTGAGAAATTAGCTCAGGAGCACGGCGGAGCTGGTTCATTATTCATCACGAGGGGAAAAATATTTTACGAGAATAAATGAGGAAGGCGAGTAAACACGGTTTCTTGTAGGTTGATAGTGGTGCTGTGACGTACAGTGGTGCTCTGACGTACAGTGGTGCTGTGACGTATAGTGGTGCTGTGACGTGCAATAGTGCTGTGACGTATAGTGGTGCTGTGGCGTACACTGGTGCTGTGACGTACAATAGTGCTGTGACGTATAGTGGTGCTGTGGCGTACAGTAGTGCTGTGACGTACAATGGTGCTATAACATACAATGATGCTGTGACGTACAATGGTGCTGTAACATACAGTGGTGCTGTGACGTACAATGGTGCTGTGACGAACTATGGTGCTGTGACGAACTATGGTGCTGTGACATACAATGGTGCTGTGACGTACAATGGTGCTATAACATACAATGATGCTGTGATGTACAATGGTGCTGTAACATACAGTGGTGCTGTGACGTACAATGGTGCTGTGACGAACTATGGTGCTGTGACGAACTATGGTGCTGTGACATACAATGGTGCTGTGACGTACGGTGATGTAACGTACAGTGGTGCTGTAACGTACAATGGTGCTGTGACGAACTATGGTGCTGTGACGTACCTGTAGTGCTGAGACGTACAATTGTGCTGTGACGTACAGTGGTGCTGTGACGTGCAGTGGTGCTGTACATACGGTGATGCTGTGACGTACAGTGGTGCTGTACGTACGGTGATGCCGTGACGTGTAGTGGTGCTGTGACGTACAGTGATGCTGTGACGTGCAGTGGTGCTGTTACGTACGGTGATGTGACGTACAGTGGTGCTGTTACGTACGGTGATGCCGTGACGTGTAGTGGTGCTGTTACGTACGGTGATGCTGTGACGTACAGTGGAGCTGTTACGTACAGTGGTGCTGTGACGTAGTGTTGCTGTGACGTAGTGTTGCTGTGACTTACTGTGGTGCTGTGACGTACAGGGGTGCTGTGATGAACAGTGGTGCTGTGATGAACAGTGGTGCTGTGACTTACAGTGGTGCTGTGATGAACAGTGATACTATGACATACAGGAGTCTGTGATGTACAGTGGTGCTGTGATGAACAGTGGTGCTGTGGCGTACAGTGGTGTTGTGGTGGTAAGAGGTCTTGTATCTTATTTGGTACGGTATACCTCCGTTGTAATGGCATAAAGGGGATGGCTCAGGAAGGAACTCTATAAGGAACTGTGCGGCGGTGGCCATTTGTTGAAACTCGAGTGTGTGCATCTCTCTCTCTCTCTCTCTCTCTCTCTCTCTCTCTGCGGGTCATGATGGGCAGATGAAGTGACTAGTGAAAGGGGAAGTATTGGCCATAAAATACGAGAAATAATTACAAGGTGTGTTGATACAGCCGATTACAGTCTGAGAACTATTTGAGTGGGGGAGGGTGGACCGGGTGGGGAGTGGGCCGGGAGGGTGTAGGTGTAAATAAAGGGAGTAAATTGTGGGTGGAGAAAATGTGGCAATAGAGAGAAGGTAGTGGGTGAAGGCGAGGATATGGAAGGAGTTGAAGGGCTGGGTGGGTGGGAGGTTGTATGAATGGGGAGAGTTGTTACAGTTTATGGTTGAGTAACAGGTGAAGGAACAGGTACAGTTTATGGTTGAGTAACAGGTGAAGGAACAGGTACAGTTTATGGTTGAGTAACAGGTGAAGGAACAGGTACAGTTTATAGCACAATTATATAGATTAAGCAACCATGAAAGTAGCAGTAACAGTGACAATGAGAGGAAGCGGTGAAAATAGCTATAGAATAGTAACAGCGGAAGCAGCAGTGAGAGAATTATTGTTGGTGGTCGTCGTTGTCGTCCACCTGTTAAAGATCCCAAGAACGGCCAATCTGGTACACCCACCCCCTTTTGTCAACAGCTAACACGTGGTTAGACTGAGACCAAAAACAAACATTCGTAAACTTTACTGACATTAAAATGGTTACCAATGCGCTCGTGTGTGTGAGGGAGGTACACACTGCGGAGGTGGAGGGGCCGTGTTGTGATGCAGTGAAGCACTGTCAGGAGTTCCGGTCGGCCCCGTCCGAGGAAGTCAGTCTCTCTCTGACCCCTGAGTAGTGCAGTTTGGTGCGTCTCTCTCTCAACATTATTTCTGCAACAGAATATCTCCCTGTCTCTCTGTCAAACTTACTGTTTACCATAGTCAGCCTTCCGTATATGTTTTTCAGTGCATTTTTTTTACGTACATAACAAACGTACATATATGAGAGTCCACGTATACTTACTCACGCTCTACATTTGCTTGTATCAAGCCCATTACTTGTACACACATATAATTATCATATTTTTTGTGTATAGATACATTTACACCCACACATACATTGTATTCACGAATGTATATATTTTCACACTGACACACATTCATTCTTTTACTCTTGTTTTAAATACATGTACTGCATTCATCAATTTATATACCTACATACCTGTATATACATAAACGTATACATACGTACACCATATTATATGATTGTCTTAACCAATATACTCTGTGTATAGTTATTCCAAAAGGTATCTTTACGGAGGGGTCCGATGAATTTAATAGTGAACACTACGGCTCCTGTTCTCTGTTTGGTTGTCAAAATCCTTCGTCGGTTGTGTCATATTGTCTCACACAAACTCAAAAAGATACTTTTGGGAGTGAATGTACATATGTCAGGGTGTTGTAACAGTGTAGGCCTCTCGCATCATACTCATCATCACAACCTGCCCTGTCACCATCACCATAAGGTAACCCCCATAACCAGGAGAATCACTATCAGCTATCTCTCAGCCTAGATCATTATCATACCTCCATCATCACTATCATATGACCATCACCCCTCCCACCATCATCTTTACCATCTGCTCAATATTTTCACCATCATCATCTCACCACCATAATTACCACATCAGAACCACCACCATACTCCCTTTGACATTACTCTACTAGCACCTTCACCATCATTATCGACATCACCTTATTGCCGCCATTATCACCTCCATAATCGCCATCACCACCACCACCTTATTATCATCATCACTCTACCACTACCATCAGCCTACCACCATCAGCTCTAGCAAAAATAATTATTTACACATCTCACTCCTCCTTTCCCTTGCCCCTCAGCTGAAGACCACCTCGCCATTTCCTAGTGCCACGTAAGGACTCGCAAAGATTCTTAAACAAGGTTCCAGTAACATCAACTCATCCCATCAGAACAACAAGTAAGCCACGAGTTTATGCTCCTTTTGTTATATGTAATATCTAATACTTTATTGCATTAACTGAAGACGAAAAAACACGTGTCTGTTTTTGTTTTAGTAGTAATAGGAGGGCTTTCAACAGTCTAGATTTTGTAGCGCCGTTCACTCAAGTCTACATTTTTTTTTAATTAAGTAAAGTTTATCTTCATACCTGTGTATAAATGAACCATTAATTTATTCATCGTTTATTCCGGAAGTTACATGCGGTGTTTGTCGTGTAAACTAGAAATTAACAACGCTTGAAAACGATATTAACTTAGTTTGTGGCTATACTGTACTCAGGGGATCGAAATTGCACATAGCAGTGATTTTCCCCGCTACAAGGCACGGTGTAAACGCCTGCCTCACACACATACATACAAACACACACTCCAATCCGTGTAGGGGCAGCTGGGGGGCCCTGACGTAACTCCTTAATGTGTTCACTTATGAGAGGAGAACTGGGTTGTGTTTTGTGATTTACTTTCTTACACTGTTATAATGTTATGATACTAGTGTGCTGCAGTGTTATCATGTCAGAATGTTATAGTGTTACCATGTAACATGATGCCAGGTTTTATTTTTACAGTGTTATCATGTTGGAATATTACAATGTTACCATGCTATAACATTACTGTGTCAGAGTGCAGTAACAATGTAGGCCGCTCAGTGTGCGGGAGCCCATCAGGCAGGTATGGCCGTGCACATTAGATTAACAGCCAACTCAGACAATTATCCACACGTGGTACAGGGTGATCGAACAGTCTCTGTGTACCTGCAGTAATTGACAATATAGTGGTTCCTTGCTATACGCGCAGTGTTAAATCTTCAACTCACAATAAGCAGTGAAATGGTATCCACTTCCAACATCTACTGTGACTATTTCAGGTATCTATTGTAAGTAAAACAAGGTAAATAACTATATTGTTAACTAACAAACTTACCCATCTTCCCTAGTGTTAGGCATATACTGTATATCCTTGACTGTCACAGTTTGTCCTCCCTGCCACGGGTAACCACCCCCCGCAGTTGCTGTGGCGATATCTCAGTCGAGGAAGATTTTTAGTTCTTGTCTGGACCACCCGGGGGTCAGTGGTCAATAGTATTACCAAGGTGCACAATCTCAGAAAACGAGAAACAAGCGTCTGACAGCGTCAACGAATTGGCCAGAAGAATGGTCTTCCTGAACGGGCTTGGAAAAAAAAGATACACTGTATAACCACAAACGAAGGATAATAGTTATAGATACGATAAACGAATTAGATTAGTTTACGAGACGGGTACAGTAATTGGAAGGTAACAGTGTTGGAATCTGCTGAGCATTATTTCAACCAACACGGCCAACTCCACTACCCCGCTCTCCCTTCCTGCAGTCCACCACCCAACCTAACACCTGGTAGGGATTCATCAGTCAAACACCACCACCAGGAAGGAACCTTGAAGCATAGGGCTCTTCTCATCCTCCCCTTCAACCCTCTTACGACAAATAAGCTCTACATTTTTCTCTCTTCTCACTGTAAATACATCCGCCAAGCACCCGTTAGACACGTTTATCTGACGGAGCCTTCACAGCGGACGTCATCTGTGTGCGTCAGAGGAGAAGGTTAGATGTGTTTCATGACCAGTCTTTTCATTTAACTTCAAATATTTAAACACTTTTCTCTCCCCAACACTTCTTCACACCATTCCCTCTCCGTAGCTGTTTACTGAGGTATGACCTTTACTTCCTAGACCCAGACGATTAATTCCGAAGAAAATAAATAGTAGCATTTAACGGTAATTTATGGTCTGTTTCTTAAGTAATTTACACGGGCGAGAAGATGGCATCAACACTTTGAAAATAAAACTTTGGGAGGTACAGAATATAATTTTATTTTATTGCACACACTAGGAGGCAGTTTTGTTACGGCCTCTGAATAATATATAGAGCTCACGTCTACTCCTATGGGTGGCTAGTTTGACACCCTGGGCATTACTCAGGTCGCTCAATAGGTTTCCACATGTATCCACAATGCCTCTAATCAATCGTCTGATTCTCTGCACGACTTTATTAAATATTTGATCAATTTTCTATGTATATCTTTTACTTACTTTTATCCTCTTCACCACTGATCGGCTCGTTAGCCGCTTGGGCGTTCGGTCACGTCTCTGTTACGCATTGTTGGCAGGTACTAGGCATGCACCGGCTCCTGAATGTACCTGAACCTGCTCCAGTATTGGTCAAGTCTGGTCTTGAAAGAACTCACACCCGGTGCCGTCACAACACTTTCTGGCAGATTGTTCCAAAGTTTACAACTCTCACTCCGAAAAAGTTTGCCCTCACAGTTTTCTAGGCTTGCGGCTTCTTCAATCTTGAGCTGTGACCCTTTGTAGGGCGAGCGTCCGCCAGCTCCAAGTAAGGACACTCGACTGAGTAGTGCCCCTTGAATGCTTAGGTACACCTCAATTAGGTCGCCCCTTGCTCGTCTGTAGTATAAGCTAGGCAAGTTCAGGCGCTCCAATCTCTCAATATACAGTAGTTCAGGTGCCGAAGTGCAGGCACCAGTCTGGTGACCCTCCTTTGAACATTTTCAACCAACTGACAGTCCCTAGCATATCTCGGTGACGAGACGGGGTAACAGTACTCCAGTTCGGGAAGCACTTCACTCTTGAAGATCGTTACGAGGGACGCGTCCGTCTAGATATCTGAACGACCTTCTTATAAGACCTAATAATTTATTGCCTGTTTACCTTCTTCTTGCAATGGCCCGAGAACTTCAGCTCATTGTCAACATACACACCTAGGCCCTTATTACATTCAGTCTCAAATAGTGCAGTTTCTTCAGCCCATTGAGACATATGATATGCCTCCTTACCGTTGGTACGCCCCAGGTGCATCCTCTTACACTTCGTGACATTGAATCTCAGCAGCCATTTCTTCGACCGTTCTTGGAGCTCACAGAGATCCTTCTGCAGCTCTTCACACTCCGCTTAGTTCTTGATTTCCCGAAATAACTTGGCGTCATCCGCAAACATTTGTATGGAGGAGTGTACAACGTCAGGCATGTCATTTATGAAACAAGCAAACACCAGCGGGCCCAATGCACTGCCCTGTGGCTCCCCGCTTGTGACAGGTACAGATGATGATTTCGTGCCATTAATCACCACACACTGCTTGCGGTCATGTAGAAAGTTTTCTATCCACAGTAGGACATTTCTCCGGGTTCCGTACCCTTCCAGTTTGATTTTCAGCCTTTCGTGGGTTACACTGTCGAAAGCCTTGTCAAAATCTAGGTGTATATTGTCGATATTACCACCCCGTTCCAGAAAATGGGTCCAAATATCCAATACCTTGAGCAATTGTGTTAGCGCCCCGGCATAAAACCGTGTTGGCAATCCTTTACAAGGATGTTTAGAAGTAGATGTTCCATCGCGGCATCTCTGATAATACTCTCAAGTACTTTACATATTATGCTGGTCAGGCTCACCGGTCTATAGTTGTTCGTGGAGTGACGATCGCCCTTCTTGAAGATAAGACTCACATAAGCCATTCTCCAATCACTGGGGACCTTTTGTTCATTCAGGCATTTACATAACAGGATCTTCAGGGGCTCGGCAAGCTCGTTGCACAACTCTCTTATCACTCTAGGATGCACCATGTCAGGGCCGGGACTCTTATGGACCTTTAGCTTTGACAGTTTATTTCTCATACACTTCTGTGAACACAATGTGGGTCAGTACTGTGTCGAACCGTCTGTCCTCAAACGCAGGAAGGTTAATCATATCCTCTCTTGTGAACACCGAGGAAAAGAAGCTGTTCGATGCCTCAGCTTCATCTTGGTCAGAATGTGCGTAACTACCATCTTCAAGCCTCAGGTCTGATACTCCTACTCGCGTTTTTAATTTCGATTTTGTATAGCGGTAAAACGCCTTTGGGTTTGACTTGACCTCACTTGCAACCAGTCTTTGGAACTCCTTTTCAGCCCTTCTACACTCTGCCTTTGCTTGGTTTCTGGCTCTTGCATAAATCCTCCTGCCCGGCTCATCATTTGAATTTCTGGGTTTACTTCTTATCGTTGTCGATCACCGCATGGCTCATGTGTAGAGATCCCCTCGTATTCTTAGAGGCACTGGGTTTGGTCTTGGGTATATATTTATCTATCAAATGGGTTACTTTACTAGTTATGATATTCAGCGTAGTGTCTGCGTTCTTGTACCTTTGTGAGTGAGGCCAGTGAATACCTCTCATCTCTTCCCTCATCCCGTTGTAATTTCCCTTGTAACATTTGCAACTTGGCCTGGCTTTATCTTGAACTAAGTAACAGTTAAATCTGAATGACAAACACTACATGGTGGCTGGTGCCAACTGGGGCTAGATGTTCCAGTTTGGCCACCATACCCTCCTCGTTTGTTATGATGAAGTCTAGTGGCTTGGGTGTTTGCTCCCCTCTGTAATGTGTCGGATCTTTAACATGTTGGACCTGAAAATTATCTCTCAGAGTTTCTACAAAAAGAATAGCAGGGTTATTCAAGTCATTTGGGGTGAACTCGTTTCTCCAGTCGATGTCGCCATAGTTAAAGTCCCCCATGATAAGGAGGTGGCTAGGGTTGAGCATCGCTGCGTTGTCTATTAAGGCTCTTGAGTTCCTTTGATTTAGTGGGCTACAGTTTAGGGATCTGTAGATACACCCGACACTAAGTCCCCTCCCTTTAGTTTAATTTTGCACCACTTGGACTCCTCAAAAACATCCTCTCCCTGTACCCTCGCCTGGCTGGCTCTAAGATCTTGCCTAGCATAGACGAATGGAGGTTCTTCTAATTATGTGTATGTTTGTATGTATTTTTCTAAGGTTACTGTGTATGCGACGATATATGTACAAGCTGTTTATACTTCTCTATCAAGTACAGTATGTTTATTGTGTATGCCAAGGTCTGTACAAGTTCCACTGGTAAAGTTACTGATTGTGAGTATACAAGACGTTCCCTTATTGCTCTGGGTTTGT